AACTCAAAATGGGTCTGAGACCTCAGTGCAGACCGCCAAACTCTAGAACCACCGTAGGAGAAATACAGGTGACCTTGGATTCGTCAGTGACTTTTTAGCTGCACCAAAAGCACGATCAAAGAAAGAAAAAAACCTGTTAAATTGTACTTCATTAAAATTAAGCTTTTGCTCTGCAAAAGACACTGTAGGGAGTATAAGAAGACCAGCCACAACTGAGAAAATCTTCACAAACCATGTGTCTGATAAAGGATTAGGATCCAAATATACAAAGAAGTCTTAAAACTCAACGGTAAAAAAAAAAAAATCATAAAAGAACTGAACAGATACCTAGAAAGAAGATTTAAAATGTTAAATAAGCATATGAGAAAAAGCTCTGGATCACATGTCCTCAGAGATGCAAGTCAGAACAGCACAGAACACCCYGCTCCCCATGGAAAGGCCAGGCTCCAGAACACGCCACCCCCACTGCATGGAGGGTATGCTGCATCAGGAACTCTCACCTGCTGAGACACTGACATTACCTGACAGGGGGCTGCTGATGAGGCGCTGCTCAGGAAGACGATTTGGAACTGTCTGACAAAACTAAAGTTGCCGTAGGTGCCAACAATCGTGCTCTTGGTATTTACTCACAGGATCTTAAAATTTGTGTCCACACATAAACCCACATGGCTGTTAACACAGCTGTACTCATAGTTGCTACAACCTGGAAGCAACCAAGACATCCTTCAGCAGGCAAGTGGATGAGCTGCGGCAGATCAGACGGGTGACAGCTAAAAAGGGCTGAGCTGCAGCCACGGAGGGATCCCGAATGTCGGGAGAGAAGCCAGTCTGAAGGGCGCACACTGCAGGATCCCTGGGCACCATGTGGGAAAGGCTGCGAGGGGTCCCGTTTCCAGGGTTAGGAAGGAGGAACAGGAAGAGCTGGTGAAAGCATGCTGCCAGCGGCTAGATGGTGGGTACATGTCCCTGCACATCGGTGCAGACCCACAGAAGGGTCGACACCAGCAGTGGGGCCCCAGGTAAACCATGAGCAGGTGTCAATAACCAGGGTGGGTGGGAGCCTGCCACCAGGCCCTGGCAGCTGTGGCAGACTGCCGAGAGGCCAGGGGCACCGGGAGCTCTCTGTACTCTTCTCGTTTTCTCTAGAAGCAGCTGCATTAAGACATGGAGTCTATTGAGAAGCAGACTCCCAGCTGGTTCTCACCCACGGCCACCTTGCCCCTGTTCCAGGTGTATCCAAAGGCCTCCAGCCCAGGCTCCCTGCGCATTTCAAGCTGGGGCACTGTAGGTGACGCAGAGAGGCGTGTTGGAGTTTCAGCCCCACAGGCCAACACAGCTGGACCCTGGACTGCGGAGCCCAGACGGCCCCAAGGGTTCAGTGGGCCAGCCCCRTGCTCCCCCAGGGCTGTGACCTCCCCAGCCTCCAAGGCCACAGGAGCCCAGCTTGGCTGACAGCAGCACTGCTCTCCCTCCCTCACACAGCACTCGGGGGGCCAGGCCTTGGTCCTCTCCCTGACCAGAAGACCACAGGGGACAGGCTGCCCCTGGCCCCGATGGCAGAGCTGGCAGGAGACGCACCAGCAGGCGTCTGGACGGTGACGTGGAAAGGTGGTGTCCGCAGGGGGAGGGACATCCCTGAGGAGCCGGCAGCGTGTAGGGGCAGGAGAGGCCCGAGGACCCGCGAAGCTCCCCTCTGCATCCTCACGCCACGGCCACCAGGCTGTGCCCTACCTGGGGCTCCCCAGACCTTCCCCTTTCTCTGACTGCAGAGGACCCCAGTGGGGCAGAGGCGAAGCAGGCAGAAGAGGAACCCCCCCACCCCATGGCCCGGTCCCAGCCCGGTGCAGGGCCTGAGGAGGGCAGGTCTGGAGAAGAGATCTGTGAAACCCAGGGAGGCCTCCCCACTCAGGACGCCGAGCTTCCGGAACCCACCATTCCACCCACCGGCGCAGGACTGCAGGTCTCAGGTTGTGCCCAGGAGGCTGAGCCAGTGGCTGGCCCCTGCCGCAGTCTGGCTGGGCAAAGTCACAGGGAAGGGGCGGGGGTGACAAGCAACTTGTGAAGGTTGACACAGCGGGAGCCGCTTTATTACGGGACAGAGAAGTATATAGACCCAACTAATGACACACAGCTTAACTTAATTAACATAAACTAGATACAGCAGTCAACCAATAAGGAATCCTCATCATCTTGATGATGACACACAGCTTGACTTAATTGACATCATCTAGACACAGCAGTCAGTCATTAAGGAATCTCCATTGTCTTAATGGCTCGCTGGCACGACTTCTCAAACCCCTCCTTCTGGCAAAGTGCCAGGTGCCATCTTGACTTGTCCGTGGYTCTCAACAGCCCGATGAGTGACTCCCTCAGCTGGGGTGAGTGTGGGAGCAGCCTGTGACCCTGAGGTGGGAGCCCGGCCTGTGTCTGTGTCATCCGGTCACCTGAAGGGTACGAGGCACTGTGGAGGCCTCCCTGGCTGACCTTCGACTTAGGCTTTGAATCATGGTGAGCAGTAGGCCAAGCACATCGCAGGAACTGTGCTCCACAGCTCGAGCCCAGACACGCTGGGGGCACAGGACTCCACAGGGTCCCCAACATAAGGAAGCCTGAGGCACCAGGAGCTGAGATGAGAATCAGAGGACCAAGCCCATGTTGACCAGCACCAACCCAGAAGCTCAACCCAGGCCCCAGCCCACCATGGCTGCCCACCACCAACCACTCCTGGCCTCTTGCTGGTTTCCACAGAACTCCTCTGCTGGGATGGGAAAGGACCGACAAGGTTCTCAACAGCCTAGGTTTCTCATGGGTGTTTAGGAGAAGATGTAACTTTAAAAAAAAATAAATAAATAAAGGCTAATATCCAGGCTTTTAAAAGACAAAAAGAAAGGCAGAGGGTAAATCTCTTTAAAGTTGCAAGTTGACGATGGCCTTGGAGGCCTGGGCACCATGAGGACCCTGTGTCCTGCCCAGGAGCCCATGCAGAGTGTGACCTCAGAGTCCATGAAGGTGCTTCCTGCCTTGGAGGTGCAAGGCGCCCTCACAGCATCCACTTCCAGTGAGTGAAGGACACATCTTCCACTCTGGCGTACCCAGGTGGCCCCAAGGGTCCCCAGGTGACCCACCAGGTGTATGGTTTCCTCTTCCAGGAGCYTCAGCAGACTTGATTCTGCTGGCTCAGTGCTCAGTCTCAGAAGCCTCCACAGCCGCGGGCCGAGGTGCCAGAAGCCCRTGGTCCTGCAGGGGACCTCAGTCAGGAGGGAAGCCCTGAGCCTCCAGAGACCCCTGCAGCGGAGGCACTGAGGGGAAGTGGTCAGAGCCAACCTGGGGGCAGGGAGCAGGTCTCTGCTGGAACCAGGCCGGGCAGGGCCAGGGCCTGGGGTCCCACCAGCAAGCACAGGTGGCCACCCCTCTGCTGCACCCCAGAGCACTGTGGCTCTGGAGGGGCCCGTGGAGAGGCCTGAGAGTGAAGAAGGGAGGGGTGGACGGAGCCTCTGCTGGGCATCCTTGCTGAGGTGTGCCAAGCCTGCTGGCGAGCACYGCTGACCCTGCTCCCCTCCATCAGAGTTCCTCTGCTTCAGCCTCCCCCGGGCAGCCACATTCCTACCCTGAGCTCGGGGGCCCAGGGCTCCCCCTGCCCAAGGGTTCCATCTGTTGGATACCCTTTCTCTGGTTCTTGACCTTGCCCCTTCACTAGTCTCAGAGACATTCATCTAAGATCCCCCAGGAAAGATGAACCCTTCCTCACTCCTGTCTGCCTGAATCTCCTCATTGTGACAATTACTTCTCGAGATATGCCCACAGCCAGGAGGAACCCATCATCCCACCCGCCCACCGGCCCAGGGCAGGCCACCAGCACTAACCATTCTGACACTGCAGTGACCCTCTAGGTGGAAGAACAAGGGCTGCCATTTAGAAATGCTCCAACTCCATTGGTCTGCCCAGAAAAGTTGACCGTGGGACCAGGGTCCAAGCTTTCAGATCCCAAGCTACAAGCCTGAGGTCCAGGTCTTGTTTTCTCATATGGGTCCCCACCAGAAAGTCACCGATAGATGGAAAGATGGCAGATAGATAAGGGAGAGGTGTCGGTGGATTTATTGAGGGGATGGGAGGAGTCAAGGAATGAGGTGAAAAGTTAAGAGCGAACCCAGGTAAAAGGTACAAGAGTGTGTTTTGTACTGTTCTTATTGTTCTAACTTTTGTGTTTGAAATTGTTTCTGAATAAAATTCAAACAACAACAACAACAACAAGAACGTTACCTGTTTTATTTCTCATTGCATTTCCACGCTCAGGGTCCCAACAGCTAGCGCTTTCCCTGGACTGACGGTCCCGAATGGCCAACAGGTCTTCTGCAGGCGGCGCCTGGAGCCTCACACTCACCTGCTCCTCATACCCACCTGCGGCTGCGGTTTGGAAAGACGGCTTCCTGGTGGGTTTCACCAGTTGCACTGGGACAGGCCCAGGTTCACCACGCTGGGCTCTGCACTTCCCTCTTTCCAGGCTGTCTGCTCCCCACCGAAACGCACTAGAGTTTTCTTCTTCGGTTAACCCAACGCGACTCCATGGCTCCTACAGCAGCTCACCCCCTAAACGGGCTTCCGGGCCGGTTTCTGGGGCGTCCTCGGGGTGCTAGGAAGGAGGGCACAGGTGGCCGCACAGCGCTCGCGGTTTTCGCGGAAGGTGCACCAGGCGCCGCTTCCTCCTGTTCCAGGTTCTCGCTTTTGGAGTCGGACAGGCGCGGGCGTCCTTCGCCCCGGGTGAGCATCCCATTGCCCGCTCCCCACTCCCGAAGGCGGCGGTCGGGGAGGCTCGGAGGGGCGCAGGGGCCAGGCGGGGAGAGGGGAAAGGCGGGAGGGGGCGCGCGGCGGAGACCGTGGAGAGGGGCGGTGCGCTCCCGGGAGGGCGGGGGCGCAGGGGCCGGGGCGGGCCCAGGGGCGGGGACGGGGCGTGGGGCGGGGCACGAGCCAACCCGGGCGGGCGGCGCTGCCCGCGGGGACGGAGGTTCGGCGCCGCGCTCGGAGCAGTCTCGGAGCCCATGTTGGGGCCAGCGCAGCTGCGGGCGCTCGGGACAGAGGCGGCGCACTGAGCCCAGGATGAGGGCGCCCGCGCTGCTGACCTGCTGCTGCTGGCTGCTGGTCCCTGTGAGTGCGCCCTCCATCCCGACCGGGTCCCTCTGGCCGAGGCGGGTCCTGCGGCCGGCTGCGCGCACTTCAGGGTCTGGAGCGCAAGCCGCCGCAGGCCAGTCCGGGGTCCGGTTCCCTGGGGAGCCCCAACATTCCCTGTCAGCGTGTGGCGGTCCGGCCCCGGCTGGGGGAGATGCGCTGGCCCCTTCCCCTCCCCACCACGTCCCAGGTCTGCCGGAAGCGGGGTCCAGGTTCCTCTGTGGCCCCAGCAGACGAGCGGTCTGTGGCCTGGCGGTGCCACGGGGCGCTGGGGTCCCGGTGCGAGGAGCTACTGCGGTCACCTGCGCCGGCCTCGCGTCCAGAGGGAGTTGCCTTGTTGCTTAATCCTCCCGTCCAGCTCCCTGGACCTTGCTATCGGCGCGTATTTATTTTAGTGTGTGTCAGAAGAGATGTGGCGTGGCTAAGAAAGTTTCCTTTTGGAAATATTATGCTTTTTTTTAAAGACCGCTGTGCGAAAAGATAAACTGCGGAGAAGTCTGCCAGATGAGTGAAGCACTACGTTATGTGGTTCCCGATAATTCTTTCCTTTATTTGAAAAACTCCCCCCCCCCACTTGAGGTTTGACCCCTTTTCCTGCTTTCCTCTCCTAGGCGGAGAAGTGCGTGGCACAGTGGAGCTTTACCTCCGGCAGACCCTGTCTGCAGAGCCACTCCCTCCAAGCTTGTGACCGCGGGGGCTGGCTTGCCTGGGGAGAGCTGAACCGTCTTTAGTTCCCTGGGCCAGGAGCCCCACAATCCATGGTCCCCAGAGAAGGCACAGCCGAGGGACCAGAACAAACCCCAACCCCAGCAACCCCAGGGCCAGGCTTGGGCCAAAAGCACCAGGGATTATCTGGTGAATGCTGCTSTCACCCCCAGACTTCTCCAAACAGTCTTTGCTCCGCCTGCTCCAGGGGTGTTAGATGTTGTAGTGCTGTCAGTGCCTTAAAATTTCTTCTTTTAAGTGGATATAATGTCCTCRATTCTGAAATTTAGACCATTGACTTGTTTACATATGAAAATCCAGCATGTTTGAAGCCAGGGCTTGCTGCGTTTGGCCCCTGGTACTAATCTGGTGAACCTCAGATGCTCAGATGTTCTCTAAACCAGGTGGACTTGGCAGCCGTGTGCAGCACAAGTTTCTCCTTTTAATTCTGTTAGGAAATCCTGTTCCTGGCTGGAATTCTAGTTGGCCTGCATCAGTAGGATAACTAACCATATAGCTGGATAAGAGTGTTTGATAAGAAAGAGAGAAAAGGAGATTGAGAGAGAGGCAGAAAGACCTCTGTGGCAGCCGGCAGCTCAGCTCAGCCGGCAATATGGGCACCTGCTGAAGTCCGACAGAGGAGAGAAAAAGAAGGTTGACTCTTTGTAAATTAGCCACCAAACATGTTCTGAACTGGGAGCCCTGTATTGTTCTGTCCTTGGCCTCTGGGTGGACAGCAGGAGTGACCACTTATATAGCATCTGTGGACSCTGTCATGGGTCCTAGATAAACCTGCTCATGTCTCTGTGGAGCCACACAGCCACAGTAGTGTGATGTTCACCCCTGCCTCTCCTCTTCCAATCTTTCTGAAAGCCTCTTCACACTGAATTATAAAGTCAAAATTATTACAGTTTTATCTGTATTCATAGGATTGTTTCAGATGTGACCATATCAGGGGTCTTCACAATGGTCACAGAGACAGCGCACAGTGCTGGGGTAGCAGGTGCATGGCCCCCGAGTGGTCTTATAAACACACACACACTGGCTTGAACCAGCTGCAGGGCTACGAGGTGGAAGACCCTGATGTTGAGAGGCTGGTCTGAACATACCATGTAGTATGCTAATTTATTTTCCTGCTCAGAAAAAAATATTTTGCTAGGATTTATGCTTGTTTTATAAACYATTACAAAGTAAAGAGTAAAGATTTTTTTTCTAACAACCATGCCAGGAAAACGAAGGTCACTACTTTTAGATGAATTTTTCTTTGGAAGCAGTTTGGAACTGTAAGATTTTGGGTCATTCTTGCAGCGCTTTGCCCAGCTTTCCTCTTGGGCAGTTTAAGTTACTTCTATCTCTTTTCACCTTGAACAGGTGAACAGCATTCACCCAGAATGCCGATTTCATCTGGAAATACAGGAGGAAGAAACAAAATGTGCAGAGCTTCTCAGGACTCCGACAGACAAGCACACAGGTATGTGCAGGCCCAGGAGGAGTCTGCTCCAGCCCCCTCTGGCTTCCTGGGGTGCTGAAGTCTGCCTGCATCTGGAAGGCAGGTCCACTGTGCGCTTTCTTGTGAGCCTCTGGCAGACTCGGGGACCAAGCGGTGAGGTCTCCCCACACACCTTTCTTCTTAACGGCACAAACTTTCAGGGTCTGAGATGACAGCAATGGTTTCTGACCTCTGGTGGGCTTTGTCACCCTCTGCCAACAGCTCCATCTTTCCATGGAGTGAGCATTTATCTGACTCCTTGATTTTTAAGATCTTAGTTAATCACCATGGTGGAAACTTACCAGAAAGCAAACAGGAAAAGGGGGCTTTGTTTYCCTGCCAACAGACCTATTGCAAATGCCGTGGGCCTGCTCGTCCCCCTGATGGGCAGAAGGCTGCTGGATTCCCAGGACTCAGCCTGGGTGCCCCACACGGGCCCGCAGCAAGACTCTGTGACGATACCTATTGCCACAGTAGCAAGCCCTTTGTCCTGGCTCTTTCTTGTTCTCCACTCTATGCCACGACTTTACCTTCCTCAAGAAAGAAAGTCAGAGTAAGATTCTGTTAAAGCAGCCTTGTGTCCCACAGAGGGTCAGAGCTGAGCTCTCTTCTAGACCAGCACTGCCCAGTAGAGTGGGGTGCAGCCACATGGGTAATTTGAATTTTTCCGTAACCACATTACAATAAGTCAAAAGAAGCACATGAGATTAATTTGAATAGACATTTTATTTGCCTGAAATATCCACTTGTGATTTCGACTCATCATCCACACAGAACTATCATGTTCACATTCTTCTCTGCCCCGAGTCTTAGACACCCAGGGTGCTTAGTGTGTTCAGCAGCATGTCACCATTGGGTCCCGTTTCCAGGTCGGAACCCCAGGCGGCTGGCAGCCCCCACACTGGTCAGTGCCGTTCTGATTGTTAAAACGGGCACCTTTGCCCTCCTGCCCGGCCTCTGCATCCACACTGGAGAGGGCCTCGGCTCCCGACTCTCTAGCGTCAATGACCTGTGATTCCCAGGTGTCCTGCACCTCTGCTGGCCACATCCTCTGGGTGTGTGGTTGGACTCTGTCCAGAGAACCGCGAGCACCTCCGCCCCACAGCTCTGCTGAGGTCCAGCTTTGTGAGGAGACACCAGCTGCCCGGGCAGCAGGCTGGACACCACGGCAAGCCGCTGCTGTGAGGCTGCCTGCTCAGTGAGAGCTGCAGGGCTTGGAGGGTTCCAGAAGAGATTCTGAGGAGGCCCTTGGCATCGTGTGTTATCGGGGTCTGGCTTTCCCCAAAGAAATGTGTCTCCAATTTGTCCAGCTTTCTGTTTCCAAAGGGTTTCCAGAAATGTAAACTTTATGTAAAATATTTCATTTTTTAAAAGTCTGGAAACAGGACATTAAATAAAAGTTGTGGGAGCAGAGCAGACCTCTGTAGTCAGTCCAGGAGCCAGTGGCAGCTCCCGGCTTGGTGGCTGCAGCCCCTGCCGGCATCCCCTCTGAAAGCTAAGTCAGCACCCTGGAGAATACTCACAGGGCTCCTCCTCAGAGAGCCATGTGTGTCCTGGGCTCGCCTTGGCAGCATCTGGGCAGAGGGACAGGGCAGGTTCCACCAAGGCCTGGTGGGGAAGCTGCTGTCGGCGCTCCTGAAGTGACAGGTGTCTGCTTGAGCATCTGCATGTACCGGAGCCTCAGAGTCTCATTCCACCTTTGTGACTCACAAGTACTCTGCCAGCCGCCCTTGGGAGCAAAGCAGAGCTGACCACAGGCCCGGCCGCCCTGCAGCTCTGCAGAGACGGCCTGTGTCACAGAGCTTCACTTTACTCTTAGAAATATGCATGGCTCAAATGCCAGGGATATAAATAGTAGTAAGTTACCAAGATGAAGATACCGCAGGTGATGGGAACCAGAGCCGCGGGCAGCCAGAGCTGGGGAGGCGTTCTCAAGGGGCCCGGCCACAGGACAAGAGCACACTCAGGGTCAAAGGTGACCTTGAGGTTCCAGGGGACTGTGGGAGCAACTGTTAGAGCCTGAGGATTGAGGAATTGGTGCAAGAACACCAGAGTGAGGGGAAGAGCATTTCTAATGCTGGTGAGAGAATTCTGTAGTTCTGATGTGGAAATCTTCCTCTTTGTGACATGAAAAAGCGTGTACCATAGAGAGGCAAAGCCCAGTTTCAGTTCTGAGCTCTTTAAAAGTACTCTGAGCACAAGAGCTGTGTGACCTCATCCTGATTCCTCACTGAGTCCAACTTGATCTTGCCACTAGAGGACCAGGCACATCCAGGCCACAGAGGCGAGCCCTGAGCCAGCAGGCGGGCAGGTGTCCTACCTGCAAGGCCGCTGGGGGCCCTCCTGCCCGCTCCTTGCATCTGGGCCAGCTGGTGTAGGCAGAGCAGGTGCCTGCACTTTTGGGGCCATCCCTCCCTGTGGCCATCCCTCCTGTGCCATGAGTGGAGACCACAGCTGAGCCATGGTGGTCAGTATTCACTTAGACCCATGAGGAAGGTGGTTCAAAACAAAAGGCACAAAACCAACATGGACCTGTCCGTCAGGAACCGTGCGGGGTTCAAGATTGCTCCCTACTGCAGACTGACCAGGTTGCAGCCACACTTCCATAGACAGGCAGGGACATAAGATGAGACACAAGGCCAGAGGAGAGATGGCCCCCAGGGCTCTATGCATCTGTGTCACAGCCAAGGAGCCCAAGCCCAGGAAAGTCCATGTCCACAGGAGGCTGCTGGCCAGCTGTGGCCAGAGACAGAGTGCCTTGGCCACTGGGGAGACCAGAGGGAGACTGTCTTCCAAGGGTGCTGGCTACAGGTCATCCTCAGAGGACGGCTTGGAACACAGGGTAGTGCCTCTCCTCAGGACACCATGAAGGACTGTCCACAAGCCAGAGCTGCCACTTCCCTGTTGGCTTTGAAGGTCCTCCTTTGACTCTCCAGGGATGCCGGGTGGTTACCTCAGTGACCATGGCTCACTGTGGTTTCCGGCCCTTCCACTACCTGGTCTTTGAGGAAGAGATGGTGTCTTGTTTCCTGTTGTAGCTTCAAAATCTGATACAGCCTTTAAAGACAATTCAAAAGCTTTTGCTGAGGAATCAGTGAAAATTGTCACATTAGAAATCAAGTGTGCAGCGGGGGTGTAGCTCAGTGGTAAAGCAATTGCCTCATGTGCATGAGGTTCTAGATTTGATCCCCAGCATCACGAAGTAAGAAAGAGCAGGGAAACGTGAGAAAGGAGGAGGAGAAGGAAGAGGAGAAAATAAAGCAATTAAGTGACACAGGCACATAGAAGAAGACCGCTAAAGTATACACACAGTGCCGGAGCTCACGCCTGCAGACCTGTCCCGGGGCCATTCAGTCCTGTGGAAGTGCATTTCCTTTAGTCAGCCTCCTGCTCTCCTCTTCTGTTTTAGTTTTTCATCTGAACGGTGCATTTGCGGACTGACCAGCCTTCGCCCCTGAGCTCTGCTTGAGAGCTGGGTAATATTCTATGGCATTCATTGGCCTCCACCAGGCTCCCGAGCTCTTAGGCAGCTGACGCTATTTTGCTCCTACAAACAATGTCTCAGGATTGGTTTTTCATTGGAAAACAATATCCCAGCCCTCGGGGGTGGGGGGGGTGATTCCAAGCCATGGTGGAAGTTGCCACTGCTGCTTGTGGCCCTGTGTCCTCACCTGAAGCCCCACATTCACGTCTGTGATGGTGGTACCCAGGTTATACACTCAATGACACCCGCTTTTCTTCTGGCCCTTCCTGATATCTCACCGTCGCAGTGAATGCTCACCAGTATCCACGAATGGCTTCTCTTTCTAAAGTCCTGACAAATGTGCCTCCCTGGCGTGCTTCCTGCGCCCTGCCCAGCTGCGTGATCGGGTCGCTGCAGGGGTGGCTCTGGATCTTGGCTGTGGTGTGGTCTGGCCCTTCCTGGTCCTTGGAGACATCAGGGTCTGAGTGGTGTGAACCAGTAGTGGGTGGGGATCACGCCTGTGCCTATGAGGGGTGGAGCCRGTGGAATGAGGACCGAGCTGCTGCCTCCTGGAGACATGGCGGCATGGCCTGCCACCGTCGGTCTCTTTCCTCCGTGTTTCATCTGGCACAGGCTCCTGGGCGGGTCTGCAGAGGTACACAGCTGGTCTGCGTTCTCTGTGTTCTTTTCTGTACTTTTGCAGATCCGTGCCTAGACTTGTATGTTTAAATAATCAATGACTCTTTAATGATTTGGATTTCTGAACATGCCTTTAAATGTACTTCTCATAGGAAAAAGAAAATTGCCTGAAATCAATTCTACCCTGAATCAGGTTCTATATGGGCTCACCCCAGGAGTCTGTGGGGAGCTAGTCGGAGGTGGGGCCTGGGAGCTGACAAAGCTGTGGATCTCAGGAGCTCCAGGAGAGGGCCTAGGTGACCCTGGGGCTGACTGGTCCGGGCAGCCTCCTCTGTGGCCCTCTCTCCCAGGAGAGAGCTCCCTGCTGACAGTCCCCAGCCGATGCCCGCCCTCCATGCCTCAGCGTCCTTGCTCCTGGCTTCTCCAGCCTCCTCCGGTCCTGGGGTCTGGGCTTTCCTGGCTCTTCTCGCAGCAGCCTGGCCTCCGTCCTCAGAAGCTGATCCTTTCCCTGTTGCAGGCGGGGTGCCCAGTGCCTTGGCTAGGGGACCAGTGAGATTCCAGCCAGCCAACTTCAAGGCTGCTTTGTGTGTGCCACCTCACATCCTGGCTTCCCAGCCACAACTGTGTGGCCCTGGTCTGGGGCCCCTCCTCTTCCCAGGGAGCAAGTGGAGGGGGCTCTGGGGCTCGCGGGCCTGCATAGCCTCTGGAGTAGCATGCTCCACACCAGGCACGGCAGTGCACAGCTCTGCTCTCCATGGCCAGGTGACGCCAGCTGCCTCCTGGCAGCAGAGGCTGTGGGGCCATGGTCACTGCCTTGGTGGACAGCAGCTCGTGCCTCCGTGGGGCTCTCACAGGTTTTCTGTGGCCTCTGGCTTTGCAC